TTTATAAAGAATGAACAATTCTCATCTTTATATGAACATAGCTTTAGGAGTTGAGTTGGATCCGATCATTCTAACATGGTACTAGAGGTTTCTTGGGGCCACCTCCAAAGCCTTTTGTAAACTTCTATGTTTTCCTTGCATGAAAGGAGGTAGCCTCTTGTAAATTTCATTCTTTCCTTGCATTAAGGTAGGCGTGTCTCTTGTAAACTTCATATTTTCCTCCCCATGAAAAGAGGTGAATCTCTTGTGAATAACCTGTCATGGACATGAAAGAGAGTGCTAAGATATCCCATACAAGCTAGCTCAATAGGCCCAATCATTCCAACAACTCTTTTTTATATAAGGAAATACTACCATAATGTTGTAGGAAACTTGACGGAACATGCCGTATAGACATTAAAATGTGGGTCTCATCATTTTTTTTTTCGGAAAAAGAAAGAAAGTGAAGCACTATTTTCCATAAAAAAAAATAGTCTTATAATATGACAAATGCAAAACCTTTTTACATATGTATAAAGAATTGAATTTACTATTCTAATTTATCTTAATTTTATGTTTCAATTGTTGTTTCTCGTAAAAGGTTCTTTGAAAAATATTAATATGATCGAGAAACAAGAAAATAGACAGAGTTATATCATATGATTTGAGGAGGATAATCTTTCTTTCCTTCGAACGAACGTAGACAAAGAGGGTTTATGATCCGTGCAAAGCATAGCAAATGATTGCCATAACAATGAATATACAAACACTCGTGCATCATTTGCATGATTCCTGGGTTTCTTTTTCCTTTTATATTTTTTTAAGTTATCTTTTTATTTAAGAAAGTTATAATTTTTTTCATATTTATTTTTTAATTGCCTCTAGGCCATTGGATTCTTAGTTCCTACCCCACAATATCATGTATGTCTGCCACTGTCCATCGATGACACATGTTCCTGTTATATGATCATCTGTGCTTCCTCACTCCTTAGTCCTCGCTACGGCAAAATTATTAACATAAGCTTCAAATGTCCTCTCCCCAAGAAACCTATTTTCCCAAGTTGCATGTATCTAAAATCCTCAATTATTGTTTACAAAAATAAAAAAAAAATAAAAAAATTCTCAATTATTTAAAAAAGGGAAAACGATGAGGAGTGGACTTACCATACTGCTTTAATTGGTATTATTTGTTGGAGCCATGTGCACCCATCAAGTCAGACATAGCCTTCACCACTTTTTTTTCCTTTGCCTTTCCACCTTTTAAAGAATGAATTAAAGTAAAGAAAATTAGAATTTAAAGCTTTGCATTAAAAATGTTCAACTTTATAATTTTTCAACCAAATTTGCTAGATGATTGTTGTATAAACAAAGCTCAAAACTGACCTGAGAAAAGTCTCTCAACTTTACTTCATTTGCTCGCTTTCTTTCTTTCTTTCCTGCATTCAATCACCTTTCTCTCTTGCATTGATTTTTTAAAGCATGAGTTTTCAATGCTTAGACGATGATTATTATTATTATTATTTATTTGATGTTTTGTGAAGATGAAATTAATTACTCAAGCAGGGTTCCCTCACTCTTATCCAATACACTCTGCAGGAAATGTACACTTGTACAGCATAATATAATTACTGCAGTTCTCTGCAACAATAAATGAAGTCAAAGGAGAGTAATGAATTCAAGCAATAATAAAATGGTAATCGAGTGGGGCTACCACACGGATAATCAATCAGTCCAACTACAATGTGGAAATTGGAATTGTACTTTTCATGCTGTATCAATTATGCTTTTATTGCAGATACCTAAGGTCCTATGGTTTCGGTGACAACATAAATAGGAACATTATTTGTATCAATATGAAATTGTTTTGACATATTTTTATAATATTTTTTTATTATTTATTGAATTTTATGATATCAAATAAAGAGTAAATTTATATTATCAAGTAAAATTTAAAAATAAAAATCATCTAATAGAAAAAATATATTAAAAATAATATGTTCTTGTCATTTCCCGTACTTTAAATTATCTGCTAATATTTTTCAAATAAAATTTAAATATTTAAATCAAAATTTTAATATTTTTTTTCAAATCTCTTTTTATTGTACTAAACAAATATCTTCTTTTATATTTTTGAAAAATACTAGCAAACCCAATAAAATTCTTGACTGAATTTTTGAGATAATGTACATTTTGACAAATACTCACTAACGATATTTTCACTGTATTCTCCTTATTCCTTGGTTAGAAGTATATACATATTAAAGAGGGAGAAATCCCTATAAGAAATTCGCAAAAAGGAAGAAACGAAAGAGGGAAAAGGGAATAAACAGTTAAAAGAAGATAATTATATTTAAAAAAAAAAACTTTTATAAGGGTTAGTTATCACATTTTTAACTTAAGGCTATATCTTACGGGACCGTTTGGTACATGGCTTTTCTTAAGATTTTCGAAAAAATAATTTTTTCTAAATTTTAAATTTTCAAGTATTATCGTAAACTGAATGTAAAAATTATATTTCTGAAAATCGAAATTCTCAGACAAAAAAAAAATTCTCCGGTACCAAACACCCCCTACGGGTAGAGCAAGACTACTAAACAACTTAGTACTAACTCAAGTTTTAAGGGATGAAAATATATGTTTACTAAAATTGCTTTCTTATATAAATGTCAGGAAAACAAAATTGAAGAATATATTTAAAGACATAAATAATAAACTTTTCAAATAATTAAGCGAAAATAATAATAATAGACTATAAAATAAACTTAATTTTAAAGTTATAGAGGATAATTATTGAATTTAAGTATACCTTACTGATAATAAATTGATTGTAAATATCATTAAATTCCGGTCTTGAGCCAGCTATTTCTTGTGAGTCTTACCAATTATCTTTTACTTATCATTTTGAATGATCAAGAATTTGCCAGTCTGTGAAAATTTCCTTGCGCTAACAGCTAAGTAAAAAATATAAGGAATACCTTAGGCATCTACACAAAAAAAGAAAAAAGAAGATACCATATGCAATTCACCTTTGTGGATCTTACAGACATAGACATAGTGGCATTATCTTCCAACCTATTAAATCTAAAAAGTAACATAGGACAAAAGAAAACATATTAAAACTAAGATAGAGAGGGGAATAGAGTCGGTGATGTGATAATATATATGGGGACAAACGCAACAGTTCCAAGCAAACGGAGAACCTTTAATTTAGGCAAAAAAGTCCAAGTCCCTCCACTGCTTCCCCTTCTTTTGATAGATTTTCGGGTAAAGTTGTTTGTCATCTTGGCACCAAATCATCTTTACTGTTTTTCAACTTTCAATTTCTCTATTTTCATTCTCTCTATGTTTTTCAACACAAATTCGAACTTTAATCCTATATCGAGGAGCATTAATTTTTGTCCGCTAACATATATTGGATGGATGGATGTTGCCCTTAGTACTAGAATTTTTGTAATATGAAGGATTTCGTGTGTGTGAGTATATATATATATATATATATATATATATATATATATATATCATCGTTAGATAAACAAAAATTAATTATTAAGATAAAAAATAAAAAATTTAAATCTTATTCCTGTACGTGTGTGTGTGTGTGAGAGAGAGAGAGAGAGAGAGAGAGAGAGTTAGTTCAGTGTCCAGAGCTTGTTGGGTTGAATTCCATGTTCCGAATTTCACTTTCTTAATCATAGAGGAATAATACATTCAATGTTGTTTTATTGTTTTGTTTTTGTTTGTTTGTTTGTTCCCGCTGGTTTAAAGGTTCCATATCATATTGATTCTGATTCTGTTGTTCAACACAAGCGTTTCGTCATTGGAACTACTGAAAATTTTATATTATGTACAACTACAAAGAATCTTTTTTTATATATATATTTTTTTTAATGACCACATTTTAATTTACATCTTTTAATCCCGTGGAATTTAAAGACAACTTTCTGATTCATGCATTCAATAATTTTACAGTACCAGATGGTCCCAAGCTAGATATAACAAAGGAAAATTTCTCTGGACTCCATCAATGTTCAAAGCTAGATATAATAAAAGAACTTGATCATTCGTACGCCTCAGCACTTTTTCCCTCACATTTGGCCCAGTTGTTCCACTCCATTGAATAGCATCACATCCCATCATCGCTGTCGTAGCAAGCAAAATCAATCTGTCTGCATGAAATGTCGTTTTGGTATCAGAATCAAAGGCATATTGTTTAAGAGAGTACCCTTGTCTTTTGTTATTATTATTATTACTACTCTGAAATTGATCGTCATTCTGCAACTAACCCACCAAACATGCAGCGCAATTTTGTCCTGGTTTTCCCTTTAGGAAATGGCAGGGGCAAGTTGGCACCAAATTTTTTAATTTCTCATACGTCTTTTTCTTTTAGTTATGACGCAACAACCTAATATCCCAACGCCACCGAAGCTATCTTCTAACTCTTAACCATATATCGGACCTTCCCTAAACGTAGGAATTTTAGCTGGTTAGGCCATCGTAGGGAAATTGTTTTTACACTTACCTAAGATGAAGATGAATCTTCTACAGTTTCAACAACCCCAAGTACATTTTCACTTAACTCGTAACAAACCAACGTTTTGTTACATGTATACCTTACGTCGAGCACTTTTCTATATGGACAAAGTAACATGTACATGCTAGCATATAAGAAAAATGCTTGCTAAGATGTGAAGCTGTGAATCCATTTTAAATTTGCTATCATTTTTTCAATCTAGCATTAAAATGTTTACTCATTCCGTGTACTTTCCACTCAGGGTTCATGAATAGTGTCATAGACCATTTTCACACTTTTAATACCCCAACTCGTTTGTGTTATTTTGTGTCCCTTTCACTCTCCCACTCAATGGTAGCATGGTACCCTCTAAATAAAACAAGGCTTTTGCATGATGTTTACACTACTCCCCGCTGAAGGAGCAGAAAAGCAAACAGGTCGTGCCATAAAACGAAGTGCTACATGATGAAGACAAAGACTTTTTATAAGAAAATACTCCCACCAATCCCGCTGTACAAATTACAAAACCATTAAAAGAGAGAGAGAAAGAGAGAAGAAATATTCAAACATTAACACCTTGAAAGTTAGACAAAACCCCACCCCAAAAGAAAAACTGAAGAAAGCAAGTAGATAAGCTATCACAATCCAAAGGAAATAAAGATATGAAACAGCCCCATCCCCAACATAAGCACTTCAAATGCTAAGAAGATCGGGTGGTGGCGACTGAGGAGGATGTTGATGATCTTTAGGTTCTTTAGCTGCTGTGGTTGGAGACTCTAAACTGTTTGATGATGGCAGAGAAGATTCTGTGATTGTTAAGTCTCCCTGTTTGGAACTAGGTGGCTTTGGAAGCTCGGTGAGAATTTGAACAACTTCACGCATGGTTGGTCGCTCTACAGCTTGTTCTTCAACACACAGCATGGCTACATAGAAAACATGCATCACCTCATGAAGTGGAACTGAGGGAAGTCTATGATCAAGAACTTTTAGAACTCCTTCCTTGTTTGAGTCCGTCATTTTCCTGACCCATTGCACAATGTCCACACCATCACCAAATTCTCCAACTGGTTTCCTTCCTGTTACAAGCTCTAAAAGAACCACTCCAAAGCTGTACACATCGCTTTTCTCATCAACTTTCAATGTGTAGGCATATTCTGAAATCAAAATCTCAACTTCAATCAATAATCAAACAAAAATTAAACAGCCAAATTAATTGGAAACAAATTAAGTAAAACATAGTATGTGCGAAAACCTAAGGAAATCAACATCTGTTTCCAACCGTTAACGTCTCCAATCTATAACTACAGGACTTATCCAATAATAGGTAGGAGGCAATGATCAAGAATCAAACGAGTTATCTACTACAGAGTTTACCTACCATTTACTTTAAGTGGCAATAGTAATTGGAAGCATATTAATTTAGTGGACAAATCAAGAGATCATTAGTGTTTGATAGAAAACAATAGTCAAGGTAGGCAACATAGCATGTTAGCTTTATTATTAGGGGCAATCTAACAATATCTACAGTTCCACACCTAAAAAAAATGATAGTCAAAAGAGACAAATATCCGACAGTCAAGGATTATTGATAGAAATATGGCTGGGAAAAGGATATTGCTCACACAAGTTCAACATATAAATCATCAATTATATTGAATTTCAAATATGGTACCTGGAGCTATGTATCCATATGAACCGGCAATAGCAGACATGCATTCAGATGTTCCAGAATCTTGCAGGAACTTAGCAAGCCCAAAATCAGCAACATGGGCTTCAAAATTGGAATCAAGAAGGATATTGTTTGATTTCACATCTCGATGGACAATTAGTGGTGAACAATCATGATGTAGATAGCAAAGGCCCTTTGCAGACTCCACAGCAATTTTATACCTGGTGTCCCAATGCAAATGACCCCCTTTCTTACCATGAAGTACTTCACCTAAACTCCCATTAGGCATGTATTCATACACCAAGAGATTTGTCTCATGGTTTGAGCAGAAACCCAATAATCTAACGATGTGCCTGTGTCGAATTCGCCCCAATGTCTGGATCTCTGCGTTGAATCCATGATCATGGGAAGAGCCTCTGCTCATAGCTGGTAGCCTTTTCACAGCAACCTGATCCCCAATTGGCATTGCTCCCTTGTAAACAATGCCTGCACCACCTTTCCCTATGATGTTGTCCTCCTTCAAGCAATCCAAAACATCATCAACAGTGAAGTCCAAACGTTGGAACGCGGTCAATTTCCATGCACGAGCATCACTGGCCTTCTTCAGTGACCGAGCTTTGTATATTGCTGCAACAGCAAATGCAATGGAGCAAACAAGCAACCCAATAACCAGAAGGAGCTTCAAAGAAGAAGAGAGCGGGCCTTTAACGTGAGGTTGGCGAGGGCCGTTGGCAACCCCATCTTTGCAAGGACCCAAATAAGGGCCACAGAGTTCAGGGTTGCCAAGGAAAGAAGTGTAGTTGAAGTAGCTAAATTGGCCAGTACCAGGAACCAAACCAGAGAGATTGTTGTATGAAAAATCAACAGAAGTTAAACTTTGCATGGAGGCTATGGAGCCTGGAATGGGACCAACTAAGTGATTTCTCGAAAGGTTCAAGTAATTCAATATCCGCATACCAGTGATCTCATTTGGAACCTCACCAGAGAGCTCATTACGACTAAGATCAACGAAAGTCAAAAGCTTGCATTGACTGATCTCAGGAGCAATAGGACCCGAGAGCTCGTTATGGCTAAAATCTATCTTAGAGAGCTGTTGCAACCTCCCAATCTCAGGAGGGATTCGACCTGAGAATTTGTTGCCATCAAGGAGAAGCTTTTGCATGCTGCTGAAGTTCCCAATGGTGGGTGGCAACGGCCCAGAAAGCTTGTTGTTGGAGAGACTAATCTGACCAAGATTAACAGACATGGAACCAGATTCAGGAAACTGCCCTGAGAGAAGATTGTCCTGAAGCTCAACCTGGGTAAGTTTTGGAAGCCCAAAAAGGCCTTTTGGTATAGACCCATTCAGAAAGTTCTCTCCCATGCGAATCCTATTCAAAGACTCGCACTTTCCAAGCGAATCAGGAATGGAACCAAACAAGAAATTCCCAAGAGTTATCAGAGTTTGAAGATGATTCCCAAAACACATGTCAGGTGGAAGAGTCCCAGTTAATTTGTTTGAAGAAAGATCAACCAAAGTAAGCCTTCCATTCTTCCCCAAACTCTGAGGAATGCTCCCAGTGAAGTTATTCTCCCAAAGCTGAAGCACCTCCAAAGCCGGAAGCTCTCCAATGAACTCAGGAATCGCCCCATGAAGCTTGTTCCTAAACAGGTTCAAAAGGGTCAAGTTCTTCAGCTCCGCAAAACTGGCCGGAACCTCGCCGGCGAGCATGTTGTTCGACAAATCCATCGATTTCAGGCTCTTCAGGTTCCCGAGCTCAGGTGTCAGAGACCCAGAAAGCGCATTCACCTGAAGAAACAGGGTGTCCAAGTTCTGAAGCTTCCCCATCTCCGCCGGTATCTCGCCGGACAAACCACAATAAGCGGCGTCAAGCCTCACCAGCTCCGACAAGTTCCCAATCTCCGGCGGGATGCCTCCGTCGTAGGTGTTGTAGTACCCAATGTAAAGCTCCCGGAGGCTAGTCAGGTTTCCGATCTCCGGCGGTATAGCTCCGTCGAGCTCGTTTCCGGAGAGGGCGATGTACTCGATGCGATCCCAGCCGCCGTACTCCGGCGGGATCTTGCCGGAAAAGTAGTTTCCGCCGAGATGCAAGTGGCGGAGAATGGGCATCTGGGTGACGGCGAGGGGAAGAACACCGGTCATGTTGTTGTTGTAGAGGTCGAGGACTTCGAGGTTAGTGAGTCGCGAGAGTTCAGAAGGAAATGTTCCGTTGAAGCCGTTGTTGGATAGGTTTAGGTATCGGAGGCCGGAGAGGGAGGATACCGCCGGCGGGATGGGGCCGGAGAACTTGTTATCGGCGAGTGAGAGGTTAGAGAGTAAGGGTAGGTAGGAGAGTACATCGGAGAGCGTGCCGTGGAGGGAGAGTGAGGTGAGGTTGAGGGAAATCACGTGGCGACGAGAGTCGCACGTGACACCGAACCAGGAACAGTGTGAGGTTGTGGTGGATGAGTTCCATGTGGAAAGAGCGTTGGTTGGGTCATTGCTTATGGATGATGCCTTGAATGAGAGAAGGGCTCGGTACTCTGAGATTCGCCCCGCTGAGAGGAACTCGAAGTGTAACAGAAGAAACAGCAACAGCAAGAGTCGCATTTTGTGTGAGGGAATGGAATGAACAATGGTAATGGAAGTGTAGCTGTGTAGGAGAGTGAGTGAGTAAATAAGTGTTTATCTCTCTCTGTCTCTCTCTCTCTCTCTCTCTCTCTCTCTCTCTCTCTCTCTCTGTGTGTGTTGTGTGTGTTTGTGAGTGACCACTAACCCCTGAGCAGAGAGGAGAGTGATTGAAGAAAGCGTCAAGGCCAGGCCAAAACCATGTGATCTTATCGTTCAAAAAGAGGGAATTTTTGCAAATATGAAATTTGTACTTTTTTCTTATAAATAATCTATAATTATTACAGATCGAAACATCACATATCCATTATCCAATACCACATAATGGTAAATTGGTAATAACTCTTTATATATTGTATTAAGAGAGCTTATGATCCTTGTAGAATACCTATGTCTATTGAACGTTTTATTAATTGAGGTTCTTATTTACACACACACTCATTTATGAATTTTGGTTTTTTTATTAATGAATTTTTAAAAGTTAAATAATTATATTAATATCCTTTAAATAATTATGTTCTTAAACACACTTGTATATGGTTTTTACAATTTAGCTACTGTCAAATCTATCTATTTTTTACGCATTTATACTCTTTTTGTCTTGTCACTTACATAAGTATGTCGGCAAAAAAAAAATGTCTAGTTAACATTTTCCTAAAAAGTCACAACTTTTGAACTTTAATTTTGTAAATTTGGGTTTTTTTCTCAAATTTTTGTTGAGGGACAATTATTTTTCTGTGGCTCTTTTTGCATGAGACAGCTAATATTGTTTGGAGAATCTATGTTTGGTAGTCTATTATTCTCCTAGTCAACCTCTGAGAGATAGTAGATAACAAATTCGAGTTTAGAATTTTATTGCAGTTTAATTTATTTTTATTTAATATATTGTTATTGATACTTATAAAATATTATTTTATTTTCACTTTTTTTTTAAGAATTTATAAAAAAAAATAAAAAAAAAATTTGATTTCACCACTTCTTTCATAACATTTTTGAAAAAATAATAATAGTAAAATAAAGATATTTTTGTACTTATAAGCTAAAAAATATCAAATGATTAATAGAACATCGCTTTATTTCCATTTTGCGTCCAAGAGGAAAAAATTAGAGAAATTATGTGAGAAAAGAGAAAGTCTGAAAAATTATATATTTAGACGCTAAGTCACTTTTTAAAATTGCATATAAATGTGAAATAAAAAAACTTTATTAAGTAATTTCATGTTTTAAATTTTCTATGAAAAACATGTTTGTCCTTTTGAAAAATATAATTGTATGTCATTTTATATCTTAATCGTTGATTTTCTCCCTGCATTTGTTCATGTGTATGATTGGGGAAAATCTACTATAACTCCCCAAATATTGTTGTACCTTCGAATCATGCATTTATTCTTCCCATCTTCCTTTAGCTGACTCGCCATTTCTACTAGTTCTGCACTTCAAACTTGAAGTGTCAATCGAATCATAACAATCAACAAATTCACAATTCAACTGTGCCTAAAGCTAGAAACAGAAACAAATAAAAAAAAACATGCGAGCAAGTCAAGTTGTGAAGTTAAGCAAGTCAAGTCCAAAATCATGCGTCAAAAGTTAAGCAAAAAATAAAAAGAATAGATCATGAATTTCCCCAGACAACAATACTTGGCAAAGAGAACGGGAAATGGAACATAATATAGTAGAGTTTTTAAAAAGAAAGTGATATTGTGAAGTTAAGCCTTAGGAAGCTGTTTTTATTTGAATTAACCCTTTATACTTGTAAAATATTTTGCTACTTTTCTTTGGACTTGCAACGTTGATCGTATGCATAGCAAAACAAGTGTGCCCAAAGGTCACTTTTTTGGTAATGGTATTGATCTTTGTGCTAACTAGAATAAATTGAACTAGTTCTTTCCTTTGGGATAATTAAAACCAAAATGTAATTAACTATTATTGAAACCTTCATTTTTGGTACCTGAAAATATATACTCAATGAGATATTGATAGTAGTGCTCATAAAAATTTAAAAAGTTTTTTTAAAGAAGTTGTGGTGTTTTTCGCCATAGCTCACGACGAAAAAAAACTTTCTATGACGCAAATCACATAAAATAATAATATCAAGATAATTTTATATCACCATGAGAATAAATTTTTTTATCAGAACACCATATATATCACATATTTTAGATAAGTTCTTACCATTAAACCAAAATTTATAGTTTTTTTTTTAGGACACAACTCTTTTTACGTACCATTATCAGTCCAAGAGCCATTGTTCAATTTGACTCCGACTACACTAGGCAATGCCAAAGAAGAATGTTGGCCTCACCAATAATCCCCAAAATTTTCCTTCCACAAAATGTTAAATGAGGAATCGAACCCTTAACCTCATCTCTTATACCAAGTGTTTGATCGATTACTCAAAAGTCATAGATGTTAGTCAAAGTGCAACTCTTTCTACTAATCATTATCAACCTGTAAAACCATAATAATAATAATAATAATATTTTTAAATTAAAAATATATATACAGTATAAATTATTTCGTGTGAAGTGTATTTTTTGTTTATTGTTTAATTCTTCGAATGATCATACTTAGGGCCATTTTGGAACATCTGCATAAACCTTATGAAGTTGTTGGATTTAAAAACAAAAATTCAAAATAAATAATTGAATTACTAATTATTATGAAAAACACTCCAAAAATATATAAATCAACCATAAATTATTATAAACAATACTAAAATATATATAATTCAATTGCAAGTTATTATAAATGTAACACCCCGTATATATCCGGTAATGTTATCATATCATCGTATTAAGTTACGCTTAATTAAAAATACGAAATATATTTTTCTTTTCATTTATGACGTCATTATCATTTCCAACTTGCTTAATTAATCATTTAAATAAAATCATGCCTGTATGTAAATTGCAAAAGACAGCTAACGGAATACCTCATTAATTAAAATAACATATATAAGTCTCTAGTCACGGAGCTACACCACGTAGACCGGACAACCTACTAAGTTATACAACTCAACTCAAAGTACTAATATAAAGTGGCATGGACAAACCTTATGCTCACCCAAATAAGGCACAAGCCCAACAGAAGTCTCAACATCAACAGCATAATAAAAAACACTAAAATCATAATATCAGCAGAATATCCAGCATCCAACATGTCAACATAATAAACAGCAATAATCATCAACTAAGCTCTGGCCTCCTGCCGCTAGAGGCATCAGCCCCCATATTACCTGAACCTGAAATAAGCGTCCCCAAACGTGGGGTGAGATCTCTAAACAAGAAATCTCAGTAAGACAAGGGGTCCTCAAGGATCTTCCACCCCAAGCTCACTTACGTGTGCAATATAAGTTCTAAAAGCAGTTAACAGTATAAGTTCTCAAAATCAGTGCAATGCAACAGATATTCATGTCATGTGTGTTATAACAGTTCTACTGATCAGAGAAATGCAATAATACGTCTATTACCCACATAATACCAGCTCATGCTGTACCCGCCCACAGGAATACCCCATGGCTTCTTGTTTAGACGGAACACCACATACATATCATATAGCATTTGCACTTAACAGTCCAATAGCATTTCAGCAAAACAATACATGAAAACACATCATGCATATAAACCATCCCCCATGGGACATGGTGGAACAAACAATGGCTAAACCGAGGACACGAAAGCTTACCTTGCAAGCTAGCTATCCAAGCCAAGAGTCCACAATACCTCAGAGTCCACAAACAGCAAGTTCGCAATCTGTTTGGACCAACAATATTATCAATATTTATGCACAACAAGCATATGATTTAAAAACAACGCTCTTCCTTTACGTTTTACGTCTTTAGACTTCTCACAAAGTCATAAGCCCTTAATCACTTGATTCTAACTTAGTTTAATTATTATAGAAGTCCACATCAGTCGATCATGGGTCCACCAACCCAAAATGACATTTTGTATGAACAGTATCGTCTCTGTTCTGAAATTCCCAGAATATCCGGATATTTGTCCGGAGCATATCCGGATATCTCTCTGCCAAAATTCGGATATCAATATCCGGATATTCAGATCCCCATATCCGGATATTCATATCTGGATATCATATCCGGATATGCATATCCGTATATTTCGTGACAGAATATAGTTCAGCATTTCGCGAGATATCCTTCCAAAGGTTGGGTTTTTAGTGGTTTTTCCAACATCCAAGCATGCATGTTTAACCTCTTTTAAGTTCATATAACAGTTGGTTACTTGTTTAACTCATTAAACATGCAAAGACACCTTTTTTGACCATTAAGACTCATGATCAAGGTTAGGCAACTCACCCAAGGCTCAAAACAGAGAAGCAAAGGCTCATGGAGTTCACCAAACAGCTCCAACTATGCAGACCAAGAAGGTGCACTAAAATGCCACACCAAAGGTTGGTTCTTGCACCAAAAGATGACTCATTGGCACCACAAATGCCAAGCCAAAGGTCCAAACTCTCTCTAAACTCAAAGTCAGAAGCCTACTCACTAACAACCACCCTCACAACTCAGAAATGCAACCCTTTTTTGATTCCCAAAGCTTGAATGCACTCACTCATGGAGTTTTTGTGAAGAAAATGAGAAGAAAGGATACAAGGAAGGTCAAACAATGGTGGAGAAGGCCAAGGCAGCAGCCACCAGAAGTCACTCACGTAATAATGGCTGAAGATCAGCCTAGGGTTTAGTGTCAAACACTATATATAGGCGGTTTAAGTCATAACACGCAGTATTATCATAAATAACTACGCTTAGCATTTTAATCCCAAACTCAGGATTCTTAATCTACTCAATTTTATAAGAATTATCATATTTTTATTTTATTTTTCGGAGCACCTTTTCGGTACGCGCTTTTCCTGTAGCCAGTATCAGTTCTGGCACCAGTTCTCATTATTTTAACTTGAAACTCGTTTTACAAGTCCTATATATTATTCTAGTAATATTCATGCACTTATTATAATTTTCCGGGATACTTTATCGGTATGCATTTATACCGACTAGCAGAACCGGTATTTGCACTTTTCGTCCGAAAATCAACTTTTAGCATTATTAACCACTTTCTATATTTATTTAAGCCTCCTAATAATTATTAGGGTCAATTATGGAATTATTTTCTA